CAAGTGCAACGCGCCTCATGTCGGAGAGCGACCGTGGTCCGTGCCTCGTTCGCCGCTTATGATGTAGAGTTTGTTGTAGAGATTTCACGTTGTAGAGCGCCTCTACATCGCTCTACAACGCACCCGCCTCGTCCCGCGGCGGATGTAGAGCTCTACAGCTCTACAGCGCTCTCCCATCTCTACAGCTCTACAGCGCTCTACACTCTACTCCTCTACACCCTCCCTCAGTGGACAGTGCGGCTGTAGCCCAAGGAGAGAGAAGCAGCAACAGGCCTAGCACCGTCGACGAGCGCAGCTGGCGCCTTGCGCTTCTTTGTGGAGGAAGCCTGCGCAGCCTGCGCTCCGGCCGGCAGAGGGCTTGCGACCCGTGGCAGGGTGGCGAGCGGAGGCAGCCCGCCGGTGGGCGAGCCAAACTCTGGCGGTGGCAGCCCGCTCAGCCCCAGGCGCCCCTCGAACCGGAGGGTGGTCTGCCGCCGCTGCGCGGTAGGCACGCCGAGGGCGGGAGACATATATGCCAGCTTCGCGCCACAGGTGGGAGGACCGATTCTCAGCAAGTTTGGCAGGGCGGGCAGCTGTGAAGGATCGATTGCTGTACAACGAGGGACCGATTCCGTGAGGGCCGGGTATCGATTAGGCCGCTTGAGGGCCGGATCTATTGCTGTTTACTTCATCTTACAGTTGTAAACAGATACCCGACGGTACAGAAGTTTACAGACCACGCCTGCTATTCACAGCACAAGCTTTGCCTGTACTCGCCAGAGCTGGGAGTCGGTAGGTAGGTAGGTAGAAAGGTGAAGAACAGCCAGGCTCGGACTGGACACCAACGCGGTATGGGTGGACGCTAGACAGATGATGACGACACGCACGAGCGACACACAGACACAAACAAGCTCACAAGACAAAGTCGGCTGTACTTCGGTGAAAAAGAAAACAGTTTTTCAAAACATCGAAGGCTTAGCTCAAAAGAAACATCCATAAAAAAAAGTTTGGCCGGTTGCTGGCTGCGCGCTCGGCAGTCTCGGAGAAGGTGGCACGGTGGGCGACGAGCACCGAGACGATGGTGGTGGTAGCACTCCCGCTCGCCTTCGTCTCCTTCGCGCTGGCCTCCGGCCCTCCGCGGCCGCTGCTACGTCGGCCGCTCGCGCCCATCGCAAGCGCGTGGCAGCAGGCGCGGCTCGAAGCCGGTCTGGTGGCCGAGCGCTCTGGCGGGTGCGACGCTGCGGCGGGCGGCTCGGGACGTCGGTGGTGGCGGCGCGTGGCGGGGTCGTCCTCGGCGGCGATCTGCTGCTGGGCCGCAGGCGTCGCGCTGCGAAGCGGCTCGGCGCTCGCGAGCGGCGGCGGCGGCAGCGTGGCTGCGGCGCTCGCAAAGGGGCGCATGGAGGGCGGCGAGCTGGCGGGGCGGGCGGCGCTGTGGATGCTGCTCTTCAGCCTTGCGGCCGTGTTTGCGGGCGCCGAGACCGCCATCACCACCCTCTGGCCGTGGAAGGTCAAGCAGCTCGCGAGCGACGAGGCGGAGGAGGAGGAGCGGACGGGCCGGCCGGGCAGCCGGATCTTTGAGAAGCTGCAGGGGGACATCACGCGCGTGCTGACGACGGTGCTCGTCGGCGTCACGATCTGCACCATCTACGGCACCGCCCTCGCCACCGACGTCGCGGTGCAGGTGTGGGGCCAGGCGGGCGTCGGGTACGCCACGACCCTGCTCACGCTGATGACCCTCTTCTTTGGGGAGCTGGTCCCAAAGTCGCTCGCGGTGGCGAACGCGGAGGCGGTCGCGCGCGCGACGCTGCCGCTCATCCACTGGTTCTCCTTCCTGCTCTACCCGCTCGGCCGCGTCATGTCGGGCGGCACGCGGCTGATGCTCTCCCTGCTCGGCGTGACCGCCTCGGAGGACGGCGAGGCGGTCTCCGAGCCGGAGCTGCGGATGATGCTGCTCAACGCGAAGCAGTCTGGCGCGGTCGAGCTGTACGAGAAGGACATGATCGAAGGCGTGCTCGACCTCGACCAGGCGACCGTCGAGCAGATCATGCAGCCGCGGGTGGAGGTGGTTGGCATCGAGGTTGGCGACTCGCTGCGAGGCGGCTCGCAGCCTCCTCACGACGCGCGAGTGCCGGAGCCGTCCGCTGAGCCTGCTCGGACCCTCCCCGCAGGCCTGCTCGCAATCTCGCAGACGTACAAGTACTCGCGCGTCCCCGTCTACAACGGCACCATCGACCAGGTGGCGAAGGGTGGCCCGCCGGCCAACCTCTGGCCGAGTCCACGCGGCCCGCCCAAGCGCTAGTGCCCAAGCGCCGCCCGCGGCTGCAGGTGGTCGGCGTGGCCCTCACCCGCGAGCTGATCGACTACGTCGACCGGCCGGGCGCCGACCTGAGCACGCTGCCCGCCTCGTCTCTGATGGAGGACATCGTCTATGTACCCGAGACCATGTCGGCGATGAATGCGCTCAAGCTGATGCGGCAGCGGCGGCTGCACATGGTCCGTGGTGGCGGGCGAGCACGGCCGCGTCAGCGGGCCCTTCTCTGGACCTTGTCCGAGCCTCCCTGCAGGTGGTGGTGGTGGACGAGTACGGCGGCACGGCCGGCATTGTCACTCTCGAGGACATCCTCGAGACGCTCGTCGGCAAAATCTACGACGAGGACGACGACGACGAGGTGCTCGAGGACATCGACATGATCGTGCGGCGCGAGGAGCGGAGCAAACCGCCGCGGACCGACTGGGCGGGCGGGCCCGCCTCTCTTCACACGCCCGATCGCTGTGAGCAGGACGGCTCGTACCTCATCGACGGCCCCGCCGAGCTCGAGGCCGTCTGCAAGGTCCTCGGGGTCAGCCTGTCCGAGGAGGCGCTCTCCGAGTTCGCCACGCTCTCCGGCTTCCTCTGCCACCAGGCCGGCGAGATACCCACCGACGGAGACGTGCTCTGGGTCGACCACGTGCGCTTCACCATCGTCGAGGCGGACGAGAGGCGCATCCTCGAGGTGGAGGCGCGGAACGTGACCGCGCCGGACGCCGGCGACGCCGCAGCCGGCGCCGGGCGCGCATGACCATGAGCGCGGCGGCCGTCTGTTCGTGATTCTTTTGCCCGCCAACTTGGAGTGCAGTTTTCGAAGCGTAATTCTATTGCCCGCCACGAAAAGAAAGCCAATTCTTGACTTGGGCCCTCGGAGGCCTGAGATTCTCTCGAGGTCTCGAGATCCACAGAGGTCAGACACGGGTTGGCATGATTGAGTCGCCGCCGCAAGCCCAGCCACCATCGAGGATCAACAAGGTGGCCATCGCAGTCGCGGGTGCGTTCGGCCTCGGCGCAGCAGCTCAACTCTCGAGTTTGCCTGCCGCGTCGATCACCGTCTGTGAGCTTCGTGTGTGCGATACAGCGTGGGAGTCGAACGCGACGCTTGAGATTGAGCGGCTGCGCGCCTGCGGCCTCGCGCTCGAAGCGCAGGCCGAGGGCCGAGGCGTGCTGAGAGCCGTGGCGTCCGTGGAAATCCACAACCCTCTTCTCTTCTCGCTGACGGCGCATCGCGTCGTCGCCGCGCTGGCACCGCCCGCGCCGGGCGATCCGCCCTCCACGCTTGCGGACGGCGCAATCATGCGCTGCGACAGTGCTGCCGCGCCGCTCGCTCCGGCGAGCAGCAGCCGCATCGCGCTGCGGTGTGAGATTGCGCTGAGCCAAGGGACCGCAGCGGCGGTGAGCCAGGTCGTCTCCAAAGGGTGGACGGAGATGCGCGTGCTCGGATCCGCAGAGGTATCGCCCCGCTCGCTGCCCGGAATCCGCCACGCCATCCGCTACACGGCGACGACGTCGTTTGGCGACGGCGCGGCGGCGCCCAACCGGCGGCGCGCCTACACGGCGACGACGTCGTTTGGCGACGGCGCGGCGGCGCCCAACCGGCGGCGCGCGGCGGTGGCCGAGAGCGGCGGGAGCTGTGGCGACCCGCTATGGGAGCCGCTATCGCTGCTCGATGCCGGCGCGTTTGAGGTTGGCGAGCCGGAGTACGACCCCTCCCTCCCCGTGCTCAAGCTGCTCGGCAAGGACCTCGACTGCGTGGCGGGCGGCGCCTTCTCCTTCGGGCTCTCGACGGCAACCAGCGCGACCGCCGACGGCCTGCGCACCGCCGCCGGCGCGTCCACCGGCGCGCTCGGCACCATCTTGCCCGTGACTCCGCTCGGCATCGCGGCCGGCTATCTGCTCGGAGGAGCCGCCAGGGACGAGGCGCTATTCTCGCCGCCCTTTCTCCCGCCGCCTCCGCCGCCTCCTCCTCCGCCGCCACCGCCACCGCCCTCGCCGCCGCCGCTCTCTCCGAGCACGGCGCCGGCGGCGCCGGGGGCGGAGTCAGAGCCGCGGCTGATGGCGGCGGAGCGTGTTGTGCTTGACTTGGTGTCTGGGTGTAGCGCGCAGGGGCTGCCGTCGACCGAGGTTGCATTCGCGTTCGAGGTGCCGCTCTACAACCCGGCGGCCTTCAACGTCACGCTCGAGCCCGAGTCCACCTCGGTGCTGCGCGACCGGGCCGGCCGCCTGGTCGGAGAGGGCTCGGTGCTCGAGGCCACCCACCTCCCGCCGCGCAGCTGGGCGCGCGTGCCTGCGATCGTCGATTTCCGGCACCTCGTCGACCGGCTCGACCTCGACGACCCCGAGGCGCGCCGCCACGCCGGCGTGCAGAATATGTACGAGCTGCCCATCGTGCAGCTGCAGAACGAGCTCGAGGGCTCCGAGTACGAGATGTCCGTCTCGCTCAAGGCTTCTGTGCTGGGCATGCGGCTGACGGTCGTCCAGCCGCACGCCATGAGGATGGCGCTTGGCGCGACGAGCACTGGCGCGAGCGTCAGCCGGAGGAGGCGGGCGTGAGCCACGCGCGTGAGCCATGACTTAGGCAAAAACGCGCGTCGCCAGCCGGCCATACTCCTGCCGTACTCGATCTCACGATGTGCGCCCTCTCTGTGCCCCTTGTGTGTTTTACTTCATACTTTATCGGTGTTACCTTGCTTTTGGAGTTCCGACTCTCGACAGCGCACTCAAGTCTCAACACTGTGGACAAACCGCTAAACGTAATGCTGCATCTGAAACACACCTTTTCACGCGTTCACCACAGAGAGTGCAGTCATAGAGCACCTCAGTCCTCTCCTTTTACGCTTTAGAGCTTCGAGTCTCACAAAACACAGTCATGAGAGTCAACACGATGCAACGACCTAAGCCCTGGTCTGACAGCCTGACAGCAAACCCGGACAGCGCCTGGCAGTGCCCCCGACAGCCTGACAGCGTTGACAGCACTTTCTCTGACAGTCTGACAGCACGTATCTGACAGCCTGACAGCAGAGTCTGACATCAGAGGGGCTCCGTCGCTGTCAGGCCCTAACGTGACAGCCTGACAGCTGCCTGACAGCCCGACAGCACACAGTGGCCTGACAGCAGCGCTGACAGCCCGACAGCCCGACCAGCCCGACAGCAGCACAGACCGTACACAGCCGTGCAGCCTCTTTCTTGCGCCCCATGAGGGTATAACAAAACATGCAAAGACATGCACATGTGGTCCATGTATTCATGGGCTGGTCATGGGTCTCTCTCTCAACCCTCCGTCCCTCCCGCCCCACCTCTGCGGACCCCTCTCTAGCACCGGCGGCTGTGCTACTACAAATGAAGCTACCAGCTAGCCTTCTGGGGCCCTACAGTCATATGCCTACGGCGTCTGGGTGGGGGTGGCCGCCGCCGTCTGTGCCGCGCTGCCGCCGCCGCCGCCTGCGCCTGCGCCGCCATCTGCGCTCCCCAGGCGGACCCCTTCTAGGCAGAGTAGAGACTAGAGTATGTGTAGTAGAGTCCTGCTGGTCTCCTCTTGATAATGTCATAAGTGTGGACAATGTGTCAGAGCCTGACAGCACCCCGACAGCACCACAACCGACAGCACCTGACAGCACCGGCGTCTCTGACAGCAGCAGCAGCCCGACAACTCTGACAGCTCCGACAGCGTCTGACAGCAACACCCGACAGCTCCGACAGCACCCGACAGCTACAGATCCCCTCTGATGTCAGACAAGCACCCGACAGCACCCGACAGCACTGACAGCACCTGACAGCTGGTCTGACAGAGGCACCTGACAGTGCCTGACAGTGCCTGACAGCCTGTGTGACAGATCGGCACCTGTGACAGCACCTGACAGCCTGACAGCCAGGGCTCAGGCAAGCAACAACTTACGTACTCTATTTCATCTTTCAACAAACACCTTTTTAACTATAGGCGGGCACTCCTGCGCGCTCACTTCTCAAGGCTCGGACGATGGGTGGCCGCTTCGCGCTTGTCGAAGGCGGGAGGCAGCGGGAGGGCAGGGGGAGCGATGCATGGACCATGGTTCAAGACGCCGTCGTCAGCGTACCACGGTCGTACTCGAGTCACATAAACACTTTGCTCATCATCGCATCGCACTCCTTTGGGTCCGCTGCTGATCGATTCGCAGCTTGATATAGCGCTGCGAGTGATCCCCACTCGGGTCGCCTGCGGGCCTCGATCGCATCCATCGCCGCAACTTGCGCCGGCGACGCTTGCGTGCGGAAGTGGTGGTTGGATGCACGGAAGCCATCAAAGGTGAGGCAGCAGCGCGTTTTCCAGCCGAGGAAGCTGGCTAGCGACGCCGCAAAGGCCTCGCGCGTCGCGCTCCCGCCGCTGTAAAGGCAGTCCACCGGAACGGCAAACCAGTCGTCACGCGGGAGCCGCTCCAACTCTGCGCCCAGGTATGCGAGGTGACTGGCCAGCCTCTCCGCGTGTGATGCCATCCCATTGTCCCAGTCGTGATGGCTCCAGACGGTAGAGCCAAAGTTGCGAACCAGAAGCAGAAGGCGCACGCTGATTTGCGGCTGCGCCTGATCCAACACCCCCAGGGCTGTGGATAGGTTGAGTGGATGAGGAGGGTCGCGCAGCCGAAACCCCCACGGGTAAGAACCGTCCTCAATAAAGACTGATCCCGCCGGGCTGCCAGCAATGATCTGGTCCACCGCGGTAGGATGGAGGACATGCCCATCCCTCGAGCTTTGGGCATACAGATTCAGCCGCAGCTTGCGATCTCGGAAATGCGTTCTCTTCAAACACTCGCCACTCTTGGCCGCGTCGCAACTATCGTCGACGCGGCAGCGCTCATGCGCTAGACTTTGAAGGATAATGTCATCCACACCATGATGACTACTGCCCTCAACTCCAAGCGCGAGGACAAACATCGGCGTCGCATTCTGCTGCGGCCACGGAGTCAGCTCAACGGCAGAGAAGAAGCCGCGCCAGCTCTGGCCAGCGAGGGCCAGCAAGGTGGCGCAGCCGAGCAATGCGAAGAGGCCGCTCGAGGGAGCAGCAACGCGGCGCGCGGTGTAGGTGGGCGGCACCGCTTGAATATGCATGTATGCAGAGTTATTGGGCGCGCGACGGAATGGCGGTAAAATGCGTAATTTTGGGTTTCTACAAAAGTGTTAGTGCCAGTGCGCGCCAGTCCCGTGCCCAGTGTTGTGCGAGGGAGTTTTGTTGTAAAATTCTACAAAAGTCTAGGTATCTTGTTAGCAGACAAGTGCAGAAACATGTGAGCACCCCTTTTTTTGCTGTATTTGACTCGTCTAAAAGAAAGAAAGAAAACGACAATTCAAGGGAAGGGTGGGAGGACGGCACGCCGCCACCACATACACAGTTTGTGCGCGCCGGATTGATTTTCTTTTTGTGGAAACTTTGGGTGGCATTGCGCCGCCCACCAAGGCGGCGTCGGCGAGCGCCTCCTCCTTTGTCGTCCACCACGCAGCAGATCTCCATGCACCATGGCGGTCGGTGGCGGGCGACGCCGAAAACATCAACAAGCAGGCGCGCAAGACGCGTACCAACTGGCTCAAATCCCCTGAGCGTGCCAACTGTGGGTCAACGACGTCAAGAACAAGCAGAGCCCCAGTGCGCAGTGGGGGGCGCCCATCAACCAAGCGCCCACCTGGCGCCCACCCGCCTAATACACCATCCAAGACTGCATCCAGACGCCTCTAGAAGGAAATGGAGTCACGCACTTTTGGCACGCAGGGCTGCGCGGCCGCCAGTCGCCACGCGAACGCTCCAGACGACGTCCCTGCATCGAGTACGCGGCGAGAGCGCGAGCGTGAGCGGTTGCGCAAGGTCTCGGCTTGTAGACGGCGCGAGAACCCTTCTCCGGCCGCAGCACAGCGCTACCGCGAGTACTTGCTCTGGACGGAGACGAGGCCGGTGCAGTTTGGCGACGAGCCGCCAAACGACACGTACGAGATCTTCATGAAGGAGCGCCGGCGCGAGGAGAAGGCGCGGCTGCAAGGTGTGGCACGCAAGCGGCAGGCGGAGAGACAACTGCAGCGTCAAACGGTCGTGTCGGACGCCGCCCTAGCTTCGCCCGCTGCGCAACCCGCAGCAAAGCGGCCCCGCGGCCGCCCAGCCGACCCCAACACGGAGCAGCGACGTCGCGATCGCCGGGAGCTGCAGCGCGAGAAGTCGCTCGCTCAGCAGCACCGTCGCGACGCTCGGGATGCAGCGAGAGCGGGGCAGCAGGTACGGAGCACGCTGCAGTTCATGGAGCTAAACCTCACACGTGCAAAGGCGGCGGGCTTCAATCCGTGGGGGGCGCTTCCTGACGATTCCACGCACGTGCAAGCATATGCATTTTGGCGCAGCAAGGCTTTGGGAGCGCAGGTTGACGCGAACCGGATGCGGCGCATGCCCGAGGCAGACGCTCTTGCAGCTACAGCTTTCGCGCGGACATTGACAGCCCGGGCTGCGAAAGCTGGATGGGCGGCGGCGGCCGAGCGGGCCACCACGGCTGATGCGATCGGAGAGGCACGCGCGGCCTCAGCTGCGGCGGCAGCGCATGCTCGGTATGCAGACGCTGTGGCAGTCGCGGCAGCCGGCGCACAGAGTGTTGCCTGAAGCAGCGCCGCCGGCGCGAGAGTGGTAGCCTCTCGGCGCTGCTGCAGCCGTCGCAGCCGTGGGTGTCCGCAACGTTCGCGGCCGTCAGCGCACCGCTGCCCGAGTGTGGCTTGGACGCAGATGGCGCCGCGCCGCCAGCGCTGCTGCCGCCGCCGCCGCCGCCGGGCCAGCCTAGTGACCCCACACTCCCCCACTTGTGGGTGCTCCCGCTCGAGGGGCAAACGGCACAAACGGGCCGGCTCGCGGACTTCATGGTGAGCTTAGGGCTCACTGTGAGAGAGCAAGACCTTGACTACGAGAGCTCCGATGACGATGCAGCCAGCGATGTCGACAGCGCGCGTTGCGATGAGCCGCTGGACCCTGACGTAGAGGCGGAGTTGCCCGATTATTTTTAATAGGCATTGCGGCTAGAATGAATATTCGGTCGCCCCGCCCCAAACGGGCTTCTTGGGTGGAAAGAAATGCCACTGGCGGCTTAGAAAGAAAGAAAGAAAGAAAACAGACACGCCAAACGAGGGATGGGACGAGGACAGGGTCCCCACCTGCACGAGCAGGATTTTGGAAGAACGATCAGGGGGACAGGTGGGGCTCTCCTGCTCCTGACAAGGGACACGACAGGCTCGCAGCGCGGTGCGCGGTGGACTCCCACATCCACTGGCGGTCTCATCTCAGTCTAGCGACCTGCCTCCAGCTTGTCGCTGGCAGTCTCTCCTACCACAGGCACACTGACACAGGGGTGGCAGGGGCGGCGGCACGAGTCTCCCACATACTATGCGGGCCTCACTAGAGGTGCGGCCTGTGCGTGTCCTCGCCCTTGAGGGGGGAGGGGAAGGGGCTGTGTGTCTGTGCATGTGTGTGTGTGTGTGTGTGTGTGTGTGTGTGTGTGTGTGTGTGTGTGTGTGTGTGTGTGTGTGTGTGTGTGTGCGTGTGCGTGTGCGTGTGCGAGCCGCCCTGAACGCCACGAGCGCGCCGCGAGCGCCGTAGCGCCGGCGAGCGCCGTCGGCAGCGCGCGACCGCCACCCAAAAGCGGAGGTACATCAGGAGCCGCAGCCGGCCTGCTCTATCAGCCCCGCAGCCGCGGTGGCGCGACCGGACCGCGGTCGCTCCAGGCGCCTTTTGGCCCCGGTTCGAATCGCGGTTGGCGCGCGCCCTCGCGGAGCGACGCGTGGCGCGCGACGCGCGCGCGTGCGCGTGCGCGCCCAGCCGAGCCCTAGGCCGTATGCCGTCTGCCGTCTGCCGTCTGCCGTCTGCCGTCTGCCGTCGGCTGTCGGCCGTCGGCCGTCGGCCGCCGCCGCCGCCGTAGCGGCGGCGAGCGCTCGCCTTTTGCGCGACGCGCAGTGTGGACGCGCGCCGCCCAGCGCCGGACGTGCCGGAGCCGGTCCGGCGCGCGCGCGGGCGGCCAGCGCCTGTAAACAGACAGCTGCCGCCCACACGTTCAAAGTGGCGGCTTATGCCCGGTTACTCAAGACCGTGTCTTTTTTTTTACTCTGATGTGCACATACACATGTATGTGTGTGCAATATACGCACACGCTCGCGACCCTGGCCGTCGCTGTCGCCTCTCCGCCTCGCCTACTGCGGTTTCTGTCCACCATATCGCCCAGCCCAGCCGTCGACTTTGTGTCGACCGGCGAGCAGCCCACTCACACGGCTGCCGAGGCTGCAGCTGCGCTCGGCCTCGAGGATGCTTCCACAGTCGTGAAGTCGCTCGTCTGCACAGCCTCCACGGGCAAGCCGATACTGGTGCTGACCTCCGGCTCGAGTCGCCTCGACATGAAGAAGGTCGGTCGATGGGCCAACTGCCGCGTACGCCTCGCCACGCCGTCGGAGGTGCAAGCCTGCACGGGACACGTCGCCGGAGAGGTGCCTCCGCTATGCGCAGATGCGAGCGACACGCTGAGCGTCCTCATGGACTCCAGAGTGCTCGACCTCGGCTCAACTGTTTACGCAGGAGCGGGCGAGCCGGGCCTGCATCTCCGCACGAGCCCGGCAGAGCTGCTTCGAGCCTCGTGCGCCGTCGTGGGAGATTTCACGGTGGCGGCGACAGCAGAGGCGTCAGCAGCGGCAGAGGCGGCAGCAGCGTCAGCAGCGGCTCCTCTCCCCGCGGCGCTGGCGCCGCCAGAGCCCGCGAGCTCGGCGGAGGAGCGCGGCCTCGACCAGCGAGCTGGCGGCCCGAGCGCGCGCCCTCTGCGCAGCGACGTTGCGGCGGTGTTAGCCGCGCGACCTCTCGCCGACGGCCTCGTCGAGCTGCCTCGCTGCGAGGTGCTGCGCGTGCGGAGGCAGGCGCGCTTGCTGCTCTTCGCCACGCTGCGCGTGCTGGCGCCGCCGCGCAAGGCTGCAGACGGCAGCCCGCTCGAGCTGCCCGCCGGCACCGGCGACTACCAGCTGATTGTCGGCAAGTCGTTTGTGCGCTCGGTCGGGGAGGAGGAGGCGCACGCGCGAATGCGCAGGGTCCGGGCGGGCAGCCTCCTCCGCGCGAGAGGGCGGCTGCAGCTCAACCCTCGCCTCACCGGGCCGGACTTGGTCGCCTGCGAGCTGGAGCTACTCGCGAGCCCACAGGTAGAGGCGCAGAAGGAGCCGCAGAAGGAGCCGCAGGACGCGCCATCAGTGAGGCCGCCGCAGAAGCAAGGCACGCCGGAGACGCGCCGGGCCGCCGCCTCGGCCGAGGAGCGGCCCTTTTCCTCGCCTCCGCTCCGTGCGCCGAAGCGGCCTCCACGGGTCCTCTCTGTCCAAGACGGGGCCGGGATCGCCGCCCTCTCGGCCGCGCTCGACGAGGCGGTGTCTCGGGGAGAGCCTGTTGCGTTCGACTGCGAGTGGCGGCCGCGCAACTGCCACGCGGACCCTTCCGACGACGACGGCTCGCTGCAGCTGCTGCAGCTCGCCACGCGGCGCGAGGCTTTTGTCGTCGACGTCGCCGCCTTCGCCTCGCCCGGCGCCGAGGAGAGCCGCTCGGAGCTGCGGCGCTGCCTCCTCCGCCTGCTCCGCGCCGAGGAAAGCGAGAAGCTCGGTTTCGCCTCCGGCGAGGACCTTCGCCGGCTCGAGACCTCGCTGCCGGGCGTCACCGAAGGCGCCGCGAACATGCGCGACTTGCAGCGCGCCGCGACGAGGGCGGTCGGCTCGCCGCGCCGGACGGTGGTTGGGTTGGCCGGCGCGTGCGAGGCGCTGCTGCGAGCGAGTCTTGACAAGTCGCGCCAGAGCTCCGACTGGGCCGCGAGGCCGCTGTCGGCGGAGCAGCTCGAGTACGCGGCGCTCGACGCTTTCGTGCTGCTCGAGCTGGAGGAGGAGCTCAGCCGGCTGGCGCTGCTCCCTCCGAGCCCGCCGCGCGGCGACGCGAGGGCGTCGGTCGCACTCGCACGGGAATCTCCACCGCCCGCTCGCACCTCCTCACCGCAGCCACCCCCGTCCCCTCCGTCGCTGGCTCCGGTGTCGTCGCGGGCCCTCCCCCTCTCCGGGCTGGAGGCGATGCTCTCCTCGTACGTCGGCCTCCCACTCGGAGGCCGGAGGAAGGTCTTGCGGCTGTGCGCGGCCGGCTCGGCTGCGGCGGAGGAGGCGCAGCTCGACGAGCGAGAGATCACGTCGGCGGGCGGGGGCGGGCTAACGCTGTGGGGAGACGGGTCGGCGTGCTTCTACATCAACTCGCAGAGCTCTCGGCCGGGCGCAAAGTACCGCAACCAGTTTTGGCGCGAGGGGCGCGGCGAGCTCGCGGGCGAGGTCCTCTTCTCGTGGTACTTTGGACGCGACCAGCGGCTGTCTGACGGCTGGGTGCAGCCCGCGCTGAGAGGGGAGGTGGAGCTACTCCTATTTTGCCGCCCGCAGACACGCAGCTCTCGCCGGCCGTACCGCTTCTGCGGCCGAATCCGGGCGGCGGCCGTCGCTCTGCCGCCGGGAGAGGAGGGCGTAGAGGGTGCGGAGGGATGGCCACCCGTCTGGTCCACGGATGGCGCAGCGCACGTCGTCTGGCGTTTGGTTGATGCCGACGCTCTGATTGAGAGCACGCACGGCGCTTTCGAGGACGTGTTTGGCCCGGGCGGTGGCATCGCGCCGATGCGCCCGAGGGGGTACGGTATGCAAGAGAGAAGCTGACCGCCGTTCGTCGGAGACAAGAGGAGTCACCGTGTCCCTGGAGACACAGGACCGATTAGGTTTCGTCCATAGAGTGCGTGTAGGACCGTTTACTACATGTAGTATTTCGTCATGGCTAGTTCCACCATTCACTCTGACACGCTCCCCACCCCCCTGCGCCCCCCTGGAGACTGAGCTCGAGGACAGAAGTTTTCACAGACTTTCTTAATAAATAAATAAAACGGGCACGCCAAACGAAGGGTGGGAGAAGGACAGGGTCCCGACAGACTTTCTAAAGAAAGAAAGAAAACACACAACCCAAGGGAGGGATGGACTTTCTTATTCAGGGAAATGGGGAAAAGCTTTCTTTTTCCAGAAGTGGAAAGCTTGGCCGCGCCTTGCTCTTGGCGAGACATGACTCAGCTCTGGCCCGCATCGGCTTCAGCGTTCGCCTGGCCTCCTGGGAGCGCACTGACGTGGGCACAGCCGCAGCCAGTGGCTCCCAAGGCCAGCGTGATCGCCACCAGCAGGCGCATAGCCGAGGCGGCCACTGCTGATGCCACTCCTCCAGCCGCTGCCCCTTCGCCAGCGGTGGAGGCTGCCGTCGCCGCTGCTCTGGCCGCGCACGCGCCCACGTACCTGGGCGTGCAGGAGTACTGTTATGCGCACGGCATCGGGCAGGGCGTTGAGGCTGCTCTGAACGCGGTAAGCAACACGGTGCCGGTTACGCCCTGGCGGGTGCTCGCTGACGCGCTGCCTCAAGACGTCAGCCTGAACGTGGCAACCGTGCCAGGCACTACCAACGAGGAGATTTCCGCGCTGGCGCGCCGATGGCAGATGAGCATCGCCAACTGATTGGCGGTATTGATTTTAGCAGCACCGCGCCGCGCCCAGCTGCTGTAGTCACAGCTCTGTGAAGGAGTCGGCCCGCAGGCCGTTCATCTCCCGAGACCGGTGCCCGGCGCCGAACCTGTGTCGGTGCCTGTAGAGTTGACATAAAGTATAAAGCGCAGTATACCGCTCGCGAGGGATCGGTACGAGAGAGCTCCTCGCACGTCACACTTCAGACCTCGTCACAGAGATCTCAACGGATTACAACCGGCTCACGCAAGCTCTCACACCAAACGCACTATTAGCTCTCATGTGGTATACTGTGGTACCGGCTCAGCTGAGGAGACACGTCGATCTCTTGCAACACTGGCCGGCCAACACACGCGACACCGTGGAGGGAAGAGCTACCAACGCGAGAGTACCGGGCACACGACAGCGGGCGTCTCGGGCACGTTCGGGACGTGTACTTCGTCCCCCGACGCCGCTGCCCGTTTGTCCGTGAGCTGCGGCAGCAGCGCCTGTGTGATCACCTCGATCCCGCTCGGCGTGCCGATCTGCCTGCGAAAGGTGTAGTCGAAGTCGTACAAGAACTTGCCGTGGTACTCGTCATAGTTGGCCCACTCGTCGTGGGCAATGCGCGAGAGCACCTCCTTCCCGTTCTGCGTGTAGTGGTAGTACATCGTCCCAGGTACGAGCCGGGTGCCGGGCATGCAAGCTCCGAGCTCCGTCAGGTGCCGGTTCAAGTCCGCCTCATCGATGCACGCCTGCGCCTGCTCCTGCAGCAGTCCGACCTGCTCCGCCAGCACCGACAGCCTCGCGCAGGCCGGCGGGTCGCGCGCCACCAGCGCCGCCGCCTTGTCGTTTGTCGTGATCATGCTCAGCAGCTGCTTGGCTCCCTCGTCGTACTCGGAAGAGAGGGCTGTGCTCGTGACCATGGTGATGTCGCCGTCGAGCTTCGCCTGCTTGGCCAGGCGGCCCTCGGCCTTCTCGACGACTCGCTGCGCCTGCTGCTGCACGAGGCCCATCTGCTGCGTCAGCAAAGACAGCCTCGCGTAGGAGGCGGCGTCACGCTTGACCGAGTTGACGGTCGTCTCGTTGACTGCGAGCATACGGAAGAGTCGCGTCGCCACCTCCTTGTTCATGTTCAGGTTCTTCACATCTCCGGCCGTGCAGACCTGGGGGGCGCCAGTCAATGCCTCCGGCGCCGGAACGCCGTGGCAGACCTCTGGCATCGGCTGGCTGGAAGAAGAGTCCTGGTACTTCACTTCCGAGAAAAGAATTTTTTCCCGGACTGGCGCGCACTGGCCTCCGATCCCTCCCTTGGGTTTCCTTTTTCTTTCTTTCTTTCTGGCACTAGACTGAGATGAGACCGCCAGTGGAGTTGGGATTCCACCGTGCACCGCGCTGCGAGCCTGTGTCGTGTCCCTTGTCAGGAGCAGGAGAGCCCACCTGTCCCCCTGATCGTCCTTCCAAAATCCTGCTCGTGCAGGTGTGGACCCTGTCCTCCTCCCCTATCCCTCGAGCCTCGTTTGGGTTGGTTTTCTTCTTTCTTTTTTTACTGGGCACGGGACTGGCGCGCACTGGCACTAACACTGGCGCGCACACACTGGCACTAACACAGGTACACAACGGGAGCCGCCAGCGACTCCCGCGAGGCCGAGGGCGGCGAGGCACTTAACGTGCGAGAAAAGAATTTTATCCTGCCCTCCTTGTTTCATCCGAGAGAGAGATTTTTGAAAACGAACAAGAAACCACGACTCTCACAGTGATTCTCTCTTCATCCGCGAAATCCCTGACAGAGGAGGAAGCGACAGGAGGGAGAACGACGAGAGTGGGACGACCGCGAGGTGGCCATGACCCATGATGCATGAAGGTTGCAGCGAGAATCGGCGAGGGACTGCGAAGGGAAGATAGAAAGAGGCAGACGACCAAGGGTTAGGGTGGGCGACGGCTAGCACCACACTCCTCTCCTTAAAATCCTGTGTGGTGGCGGCGTGCCGTCCTCCCATCCCTCCCTTGGGTTGTCTGATGTCTGATTTCTTTCTTTCTTTCCGTGAAATCCTCCCTGTGTGGTGGCGGTTTGCCGTCCTCCCATCCCTCCCTTTCGTCTTTCGATCCCTTTCTGTGTTGTTTTCTTTCTTCCTTCCTTCACCCTCCCCTCGCCCCTCGCGCCTCGGTGCTCTGTGTTCCAGTGCGCGCCAGTCCCGTGCCCAGTGTTGTGCGAGGGAGTTTTGTTGCGTAAAATTCTTTTTTCTTATCCTTTCTTTCCACCCACACCCTCTCAGAAGAACACGGTGGCGCCGGTGCCGGCCTGCTCGCCGATGCACGAGCTGAGGGATGCCGGGTTGCGCGGGCAGATGAGCTGCCCGACGGCGCGCAGCAGCGTGTCGGCCCCGCGCGCGAGCGACATGTTGTAGCGGAGCGGCGCGTCGCCGTACCCGAGGAGCAGCCGCTCGCGCGCGGCGAGCAGGGCGGCGCGAAGCTGCGGTAGCCGCGGGGCCGCCTCCTCCAGGGCCTTGCGCACCGTCTCTGCGGGATAGCGCATGTACTCGAGCTCGTCCACGCCTGGCTCCGGCGAGGCGGGCGTCGGCTCTGGCTCGAGAGGGCGGGGCGGCAGCCGATGTCCCGAGCGGGCTAGAGGGGGAATTGAGTGGAGCGCACCGACGGTGAAGTCAGCGTACGGCAGCGGGCCGCCCTGCCTTTTGCGGAATGGGAGCACCGTCTTGTCTCCAATCACCAGCGGCACGCACCCGGCGGCCACGGCATCCACCAGCATGCGGCCCGCGTTTTGCCCGTCGCCGCGCACCACGACGCAAAAGTCGGAACGGAGCGCGGCTCGGGCGTACGCGTACGCGTTGAACGGGACCGCGCTGCCGCCGCTCCACCTACCAGCCGGCAGGTCGACGGCCCTCTGGGCGCAGCGCGGACGGTGCGGGCAGCAGCTCGCCACTCACCCCTGCGCGACGAGCCACCTGCGGGTGTCCGGCTCGAGGGAGGCAGATCCGCCGCGCGTGAACTTGACCGCGGCGCCGGGGAGCTGGCGGAGGGTCCAGAGCCGCGCGCGCAGCTCCTGCGCCTCGTGGCTCTTCGCGTGCAGCCCTCGGAAGAAGAGCGACGTCGGCCTGCGAGCACGAGGGCCCTGTGTCGAGACGTAGCACAAGCTCCCTCGTCTCGAGGCGAGGCTCCCTCCCGCCAAGCCCCAGCTTCCCCTCCCTCCCGGAAGTGCGGTACTACGAAGCTGGAGTGCTGCGCGCCTTCGCCGCGCCGCGGCGGCGCCGCACATCTGCCTCGCCGTTTGCAGCTGCACCGCGAGCGTGGCGAGGGGCGGGAGGGGCAACGGCGGGATCACCACCCGTCGCTGGAAACCGCGGGCGCAGCTGCGGCTATCAGCGCAAAGCGCAACGGCGCCGGAGGTTGCCGCGAGCTCGCCGAGGGCGCCGAGCGCGTTCCGGTCCTCCGGGAGCGTCGACGCGAGCAGGAGGTGCCTATAAGGTGCGGGCGCCGTCTCGCCTCTGCGCCGGCCCGTCTCGCGGCGGAGGGTCGAGGCGGTGGGCGCCGCCGCGGCGCCGCCTTGAACCAGGGGGAGGTGCGGAGCGCAGAGGCGGCCGCCTCCATCCGGTTGAGGTGCGTCTGCCCGTCGCATCCGCCCGTCGCCTCGGAAAGCGAGCCATAGGCGGGCACCACATACAGCGCCGCCCGCTCTGGGATGCGCGTGCGGGCAGGGTGCTGCCGCAGCGCCTGGTACAGCCACAAGCCGTGCGCGAGCTGGATCGGCGGCGCGCCGTCGCGCTGATGCGCCGAGTCGTTGACGGCGAGCGCCCACGGCGGCATGCCCCGCGCCGCCTCGAAGCAGCGCGAGAGCCGCTCGCCCCACTCGAGGGCGGGCTCTTCGTACAGGTAAAAGGCGGGAGGGCTGCCCTGCCGCTGCGGCGAGGAGGCGCAGCCGGCGCCGGTGTGTCGGGCCGCCAGCTGCGGCGGCGGCTGTGCGCCCACGCGGAGGTGGGCGACGTACCCTCTAGAGGTTGGCTGCAGGCTCGGTGTGGCCAACACCAACGCAAAGCTGCACACCGAGCGGCGAAAGTGGAAGCAGGCGCACCGCACCCGCTCGCAGTGCGCCTCGCAACCCTCAACGGTGGTCGTGCGGACCTCCGAGTCGGCCCCGTTGCACATCGCGTTGGCGCGCGAGGAGAAGGTGGGGGAGTCTGAGGTGGGACGTGGTGGCGGGAGAGCGGAGGCGCCCTTGCCGCAAGCGCAGCAGTGCTGCTCGGGGTGGTTGAACACCTGGTGGTCTCAGGGCAGGCGCGTGCTGTCGTGTATTGTTCTCGGTCGGTGCTGGCGTGATAGTGAGTGGGGCAGCGAGAGCCGCTCTGTTTCGGTCAGTGTGTTTGCCGCGCCTCGCCAGCCGCCCACTCGGAGCCCTGCCGGAAGGCGCCGCCGTCGCACCAGTCGGCGTAGTCGCGGCACGTCTTGCCGCGGTTGTTCTCCCACCCAACGGTGTCCTCGCACTCCGGGCCAGACTCTGCCATGGTGTGCGGACGCAGAGGGGACGTTGTCGCCTGGGTGCCCGCCGTGTGTTGTCCGGCGGTGGGACGCGTACATTACAACGTAGTGTAGAGACGATTTGCGCGCAAGGCTCAACGCTCGGGCGTTGACCGCACCGCGTACCCTCCCCACTCCCGCCTCTCATTTGAGCGGGAGATCGATCGGTCGGCGGGAGCTGCGGACGTTCAATACCAAACAACTCTAACACTCACACACACATCATTTGGGGCCTGGAGCCCTGTTCACGCGCGCGCGAGACTGCAGACAGGGTTTGTCTCATTTGTGTCACAACGCGGGGATTGCTGACTTCGTACCCCGCCTTCGACGACGCGCTGCTGCAGGCGGGGGTGGCGAAGCGCGTGCACACGCCGCTGGAGTTTGTGCTCGGCGCCGCCGCCGTGAAGCCGCCCTCATCTGCGAGCCGGGCAGCTGCGTCTCGTACTCGTCCACAAACTATGTGCTGCTGGGCCTTGTGCTGCTCGCGCTCGACGACTCCGCGCAAGCCTGGCACCCGCCCATCCCCCACCCTCCTTCCCTTTTGCCTTCCTTTGCCCCCCCCGCCCCCCCCCCCCCCCCGTTGCGTGAAATCCGGCACGGTTTCACGCCTGCTCTGCCGAGGGGAGGGGCCGGGCTCATAGCGGCGAGTCGAGCTCCTGCCTCTGGCCCCCGTATGTGATATTCCCCATGTGCAGTGAGATGTAAGCTAACGAACGGACGTCGGCGCAACTTCTCGTTGGCAGGTGCGTCGCGTTCGTCCCAGCTCTCTGCTCTGAGTTCTGATTTCAGTCGCCCCACCCTCCGCTCCCTTGCGACTCTGTGATTTGTTCGGTTGTTCCACCCTCAGAGGTGTGTCTTGCAGGCTGTTCTCCCGTCGTCATCCCTCCGCCTTTCATGTGCATGTTTGCTGCCTGCGTTGTGTCGTGTGTGCCTGTTTGTCCCGGGGAGGGGGCTAGGGGGCATCGCCTTCCTCCCCCACGCCACGCATGTCAGGCTCGGCCGCCGCGAGGTCTCGCGGCGGCTTGGCTGAGTGAGGGTCTCCTGAGGGAGGGTGTAGATGATGTAGAGTGTAGAGCGCTGTAGAGCTGTAGAGATGTAGAGCGCTCTGGAGCGCTGTAGAGCTGTAGAGCTCTACATCCGGCGCGTGACGATGCGCCTCCGTTGTAGAGCGATGTAGAGGCGCTCTACAACGTGAAATATCTACAACAAACTCTACATCATAAGCGGCGAACGAGGCACGGTCGCTCTCCGAGCGACACGAGGCGCGTTGCACTTGCCAGTGCTGCCCTGGCCTTCTGTCTGCCCGCCCAATGGGTAGGAGGTGCCTCTGCTGCTATGGCATGCCTCACGGCTGCGACTGGCCGGCGCCTCGGCGCGTCAGCTCGGCTCGGCGTAGCGATAGTGGCCAGCGCAACTCGCCTGGACTCAACGCTCAGCCAGGAGCTCCCGCACGCGCTGGCGCGAGTCATGGCGCATGCAACGCGCAGCAATGCTCGCCTCGCCTCGCGCAAATGCGACCGTCCTCGCAGCCGACAGTCCACCGCCTGCTAAAGAAGCACAGCGACGAATGCGGCACCGGCGACGCATGGCAGGCTGGTCATGACGCAGTTATAGGGTGTTGTGTGCCGTCGGAGTGACTCTCTGTGTGTCAGGGATAGTCAGGGCTGTCCATCAGAGCTCCAGTAAGCTCGGAGACACCCCATTAGCGCGGCTCGACCTCTTTGAGTCACTGCCTTCCCAGCAGTGATTGCAGAGCTGAGGTAAGGGGGGGGGGGGGGGTCTTTACTGTTGACGACGCACTCCTTCGAAGAGGATCCCCTTCAATCAGATGGCCGCCCCGCAGCCTGCGCCACAGCTGCCAGGTGACAGCAGGAGCAACAGTGGCGGCGGCGTCGGGGGTGGCTCGTACACGCCTCACCTTGCCGTCACCAAGCTGCGAAGCTCGGAGGAGATAGCGCCTGCGCCGCTCTCGCCGTTCAGCTTTCTGCGACAGCTCTCTGGGATAAAAGTCTTTGACAGCTCCCCGCCTGCCTCGCCAACGGACGCGCCAGCGGCTGGAACATTGCGACGCTGGGCATCTCGAGAAGTCCACTAGCGCTGACCGGGTTGCTCCACTAGTCCCAGCCGGAACGAGTATGGCGTTTAGAATGGAATCTTCATAGCGAACGTTAGACACAGTGGCCGTGTTTCGTGCCGGCATTCTGTAAATGTAAACGTACTGAGTAAACACGGCATGCACCGAACGTAACGTACCGCGTCGCAGAGGACGTACCACTGTGCGCCGCTCCCGCACGCGTCCCACTCCCGGCCTCACCGAGGACCCGCCTCAAACATCTGAGCCGCGCCAATGAGCTGTGAGGCCGCAAAGTTTTGTCGGTTGGGCAGGACGGTGTCCATCTGGCTTGCCTCTATGCCAAACCACTCGAGCACGCCGCTCCATACCGCCTCCCATGGCAGCGTCGGTAGCATGCGGCCGCGGCCAATGTCGAGGGGGTTGCCCTCACTGAGGTCGGACGGATAGGTTCCGAGGACGCGGCCCCCCTTGATCGCCCCGCCCACGACAAATATGTTCCCGCCCCACCCGTGGTCCGTCCCCTGCCCGTTGCTTGTGAGTGTCCTGCCAAAGTCGGAGGCGGTGACGACCGTGACGCTCTCCCACAGGCCCTGCGCCTTGAGCTCGGCCTCGAAGCTCGCGAGCGCCGCGTTCACCTCGGCCAGCTTGACGTCTACGGTCCCGATCGCGTCGGTGTGCGTGTCGAAGCCAAAGTGCTCGGTGAAAAAGGCTGCGCGCTCGAGCTGCAGCTGCGGCTGCAGCTTGAGCACCTTGCACACCTGTGCTAGCTGCATCGAGATCGGATCGCTGGCGAACCTCGCCGACAGCCGCTGCGCGTCCATGGCCGCACCGAGCTCCTCTGTGGTGCGTAGAGCCTGCTCGAGAGCGCCCTTGTACGTCTCGGCAAAGATCGAGCTTGAGACGGGCGAGGTGATGTTGCGAATCAGGTGTCCCAAACCGCCGAGCTCAGGCTGGATGATTCCCTTCTCCTTGTCGAGAAAGTCTGGCGCGTGGGGCGCGCCCTCGAGCATCTTGGCGCTACCACTGGTGGAGAAGAGGCGCGATCGGTACCTTTGCTCGTGTGCGTCAAGCGCCGTAACAGCGCGGCCGAGCACGCCCTTGGCCTGGATGGACTGCGCGTGCACATTCTGAACGCACCGGCGCTGCACGTTGTGTGAGAAAAGCTGCGGCGGTAGCTGCACCGATCCGGGTGTCCCAAACTGCGCCTTGGTGGTGGGCTCGACTAGGGTGCCAACATTGGCCACTGCAAGCGCATCCCCGGCAGCATAGGCGCGCTGGAGCGCCGTCAGTCGAGGGTGGAGCCCAAACCAGCTGCACGGCTGGTCCGCCGCGTCCGAGCGGATCGCCAGAAGGCTCGACTTGTTGAGCGCGACTGTCGTTCGCCGCCTGCGGTAGTCGCGGTAGAGATCGCGCGGAGAGCACGAGTGTGGGACCAGGGCATTCCAGGAGTCGAGCCCGCCGTGCAAGAAGAGCACCACGACCGCCTTGAAGGGACGGCCTGAGAAGCCCGCCACGCGCGTGCACGACGCCTGTGCACCACACTTGCAGCTTGTGATCGCATCGGATGGGTACTCGCAGACAATGGGACGCAAAGGAGTTCCTGCCGCCGGTCTTCTGGCTGAGTGGCCACATGCACCGCAAACGGCCGATGGAAGAGCAGCTGGCCATGCAGCTGCACACAGTACGGCCGACCTGGGTGCCGCCGTATCGCAAGGAAGATATAACTCGTATGGTAAAATCGAGTGAACTTGCCACGGAAGGCCTCCGCCTGCGTGACCATGCTACGCCCGACCTCCGCGACAGCGCCGGAGCCACCGCCGACGAGCGCAGCACCTACTCTTTTGCAGAGATCTCGTGCGCGTTGACGCATCTTCGCGCGATCCGAGAGGCCAACCACAGCCGTGCTGAGGTGGCTCTAATCCTGGAGGATGACATGATCTTTCCCACACGCGAGGGTGCCGGGAGCTCTAGCGCTGCCAGTATCATTTCCTCCATTGTCAAGTACGCAAACACTCGCACGCCCGGCTGGAGCATCGTACAGCTGCACACCAACAACCAAGCGCTGGCCGCCGACATGTGTATGCGCCAGACCAAACCTCTTATGAAGTGGTCGCCGCATCACTGGTCGACCGGGGCGTACTTGATCTCGCGTGCTGGCATGCGCACCGTTCTCAAGGCCACAGGCTTTGGATGCCACCAACTCTGTGGGAATGCCAGCCGACCGATCCGGCTGCCAAAGAACGCGGCCCAGGCAGACCGTTCGGTCTACCTATCAGGGCGGAAGGACAAAACCTTTTCGTACACGCGCCCGCTGTTCACGACGCGACCGCTGAACAGGTCCTCGATCCAAACGCAGGCGCAGTGGCAGCGCACAGCGCCCGATGCCGGTATCCTCTTCACAGAGCAGTACCTTGCGAGCGGCAGCCTGATGTGTGAGCCACTATCATGGGATCGCACCCGTCAGGCGCGTGAGGGCCAGCGAGGCCAACTCGTGCCGCTGATAAGCCAATGCAACGGCGCCGAACTTCAGTTGGTGTCGCCGCCCGTCAATGTGTCGGGGAGCGACGCGTGCAGCGAGCTTTGTGACGAGCTAGAGTGGACCAGGGCGAGCTCGCTTGAGGCAAGCGTGGCCTCGTGTCACCGCCGTCCTTGTCGTCGTTGCGACGGGTTTGACATTCGGTCAAGGGAAGGCGGTGGCTCCACGTGCTGGCTCTACCAGGGTTGTAGCGGCGGCATGGCGGTGCCGGCACGACACCTGCTGTGCACAGCCGAGACCTGCGGGCATGCCCGGCGAGGGCAGCTTAGTCCACTCAAGCTGCACTGTACCTCGGGCAAAGCCAGCTCCACCCGAGAGGCTCCCGTCTCCGCGGTGATTGTCGACTCGCACTGGGATGCGGGCCTGCGGGCAGTGCTTGCGCACGCTCTCGCGAGTCTCGCACCGATACCCGTCTACTGGCTCCACGGGCAAGGCGCACTAGCGGGGTCGGTGCCCCTCGAGGGGCTGAGGAATGGCAGCGTGCAACTTTTGCGAGGCTACCCTCATCTGAGCCGTGCACCGCAGCGGAGCTTGTCAGACGGCACGAGCAAGCCGCTCCGAGAGGCAGAGGCGGACCGAGACAGCTTGCGCGCCATCCAGCGAGGTGCGGAGAGCGACCGTTTCCACGCGTGTCGGCTACCAGTGACACGGCTGACACGCACGCGAGCACGCCGCCTCTTCAGCGCTTGGCGGCTCCACCCGCGCTTTCTCGAGCAGATGCCGTCGCCGCACGTGCTCTTCTTCGAGCGCGACGTCGCCTTCTGCGCGGGCGCCTCGCGGCCCCTGTCGTGGTTTGTGTCGCAGCGCTACGATATGATCGGTGCGCCCCACGACGGGAGGAACGGCTTTTGCCGTGCCCTCGCCCAGGGGCGGGAGCACGAGCGCTGCTGTTGCAGCGCGGGCCTCTCGCTCGTCCACACGCCGCGGTTTGCAGCGTCGCTCGACGCCGCGCTACGCCGCAAGCTGCCGCCGGCTATCTCGTGGGCGCAGCACTCCAACGACATGTTCGTGCTGGCACACGCGGCGCAGAACTCGTCTAGCTTCCGGCTTCCGTTGGCGCGCGATGCGGTGCTCTTTGCCATTGAGGGGGTCTGGGCCTCTGGCGGGAGGCAAGCGGACTGGCCCACGCCGTTTGGCGTGCACAAGCCGTGGCAGGCGCTAACCGATGAGCGAGGGTTCGCGTCGGACGCGCCCTCCAACGGCCATCTGCAGCGGCTGGTTCAGCAGTGCCCGGAGGCCCGCCGGCTATGCCCACACGCCGCTGCCGAGTGCCACGCCGTGGCAAACACGCCGCAGAGCTCGTCGCACCTCTGCGCTGCGGCGGCGCGCTTCACGCAGATAGCGTGCCGCGGCGTGATCCCACTGTACGCGCAGCGTGGGTCGGGGACATGAAGCTCACTTCCGGAGTAGTTGGTGTGTATGTATCGAAGGCACTGCCGTAATAATCCGCCGCGAATTTGTTCTAAAATTCTGGTCACAATCCCCCCGAATTCTTTTTTCGAGGGAGTTTTGTTGTAAAATTCTTTTTTCCCCGGAGGGTGTTGTAAAACCGCTCTGGATTCGGTACTTCAGCTTGGTATAGTATCATTGTATCCCAAATCATACCCCAGGGCTATACCCGGATACCCTCTTGAGAGGATCCGCATTGGGCCCCTAGAGGATAGGTTGATACCCTCGTGGATTACCCTTCACACCGGACACGACCCCCCTCTTCACACCTCGTCGCGCGCCGGCCGAGACAGACAACGCGCTCGAATGAGCATCGCGCAGGAGGGAGGCGAGCGCACCACTAAGCAATGCGCTGGGCGAGGAGGGCGGCAATTGCGGCCGTCGTCGCATTGGGCGGCCTGCGGCCGCCAGCCGGCTAGCGGGCTAGGCAGCCAGTGCGGCTGCAGCCGCGGGAGCGGCCGCGGCCTCGATGACATCGCCTTCCGCCTCGAGCATAATCGCTGGGAGAGTCACCTGGCAACGTTGGTCGTACAGCTGCACCACTTGCTCTGCGGGGTAAGCGGAGATTCCGAGCGATCGTGCGAAATCAATCCGCCGCCTGCTTTGACGGCTTGACCTATGTATAATCCATGATGGGACTGTCCCAGCTCGCTACTGCCTTCTTCAGAAGAGCAAATGATTCGGCGGATAGCGTTGACAGCTGTAGCCTGCGACGAGACCATTTCGGTATATGGTTGGTTGGTTGGGCGTGGTGCGCGAACGGCGGAACCGGAAGCGCAGGCGATAATAAACGCGTCCACGGTGTTTTAGGTGTCTTGTTTGCAAACAAGACACAGAGCTCACACAGAATCAGGTGTGATATGCACATGATTTAGATTCGATCGACGTTCGAGTTTGAGACACGTTCGAGACACTTGAGACCACTTTGAGACACCTTCGCGCTAGCTGCTCAGTTCGCTGCACGTCTCGTCGCGCTTGGCGGCGCGAGCGGCGGAGTGAGAGGCGCCTGTGCGCGGCCGAGAGGCGCTGTCGTCATGCAGGAGCCGGCGCGTCGAGCAGGGCCAGCACCGGCAGCGCGGCTGTCGACAAGGTAGCGACAAGGAAGAGAGCGGCGCTTTCGGCACAGGGCTGGCGAAGAGAAAAGACGCCGGCGGCGGGCGGAGGCGATCAAGGCGCGACGAGGGCCAGGTCACGGCGACCTCGCACGGGCCGGCGCGGCGAGAGGACCTGGCTGGGGCACGGCGATAGGTGGTCGGCGAGCGTTGAGCACTCTGTGGCCAGACTCAGATGCTTACAAGACGGTGTCGGGTGAGGGAAAGGGCTGGCTCACCGTGGGTAGGGTTGCCGTGCGTGTGGTAACACTGTTTGAAATTGGGTGATGTTCATCTTCACAGCAGTGCCTGAAATGAGTTCTTTTTGCGGGTCTCAGAGCGTCTAGCGAAAAAAAACAGAGTTCGTACCGAGCAGCAGGGTCCAGGGAGCTCGAGATCCCTCGAGAGTTCACGCGGAGTCGGCTGGGGTGAATTGTCGCTTCGCTGCGCGGCCGCCGATGATACCTTGCTACCCAGCCGAGATGGGTCCCCACAGAGCCTAGAGCATACCTTGATACCCCCTCGAAAAATGATACCATACCAAGCTGAAGTACCGAATCCTGCCGCGAAAGAATGTCCGGCTTGCCGCCGCTTCCGGTTCGCGCCCTCCGCTGGCGTGCACCGCATCCCTCGCCGAGCTCCTACAGCGTCATGTGCTGGAACATGCTCGCTCAGTGCTACACGCGCTCCGAATATTTCCCGAGCGTGAGCCCAAAGTCGGCGCTCAAGTGGAAGCACCGAGGGCCGGCGATTGTTGCGGAAGTGCAGCGCCTGGCGCCCGACGTGGTTGCCCTGCAAGAGGTCGACAACTGGGACTTCATGTCGTCTGAGCTCGGCTCGGCGGGATACGACGGGGTGAGGAAGGGCAAGACGGGCGGCAAGAAGGACGGGGTGGCTGTGCTTTGGAAGCGAGCGCTCCTCAGGCTCGCGGAGAGCGAAGAGGTCGAGACGGACATCAAGGGAGGCGTGGGGCTCCTCGTGCGGCTCGAGCCTGCCTCGGCTGCCAGCGACGGTGGCGGCAGCTTCGTGGTGGCGACCACTCACCTCTTCTGGAATCCGCAGCTCGAGGTGCTGAAGCTGCGCCAAGCGGAGCTCTGTCTCCGCCGCGCCGCCGCCTTTGCGCGCGGTGCCCAGTGGCCTATCTCGCGCGGTTGCGCCGTCCGCTGCCCTCTGAGCCGGACCGGCCGGCGGTACAGGCGGCCCGCTCGTGTTCTGCGGCGACCTCAACTCGATGCCGGGCTCGGACGTGCTCGCGCTGTGCGAGGGAGGAGTGGCCGTGAGGCACACCTTCACCCCGATGCGCGAGGGAGACGACGAGGAGAGCGGCGCGTGTGAGCCCGAGGCGGCGCCGCCCGCGGTGGAAACGTTCGAGCCGCCGCTGCGGCTGTACTCGGCTTATGAGCCGCCACCCGCCTACACGACCCTCACCGACACGTTTCGAGGCCGCCTCGGCCGCACCGAGCCTCGCTCAGAGCCGCCTCGAGCCGCCTCGAGACCACGCTGCTGGAGTAGGCTGCCTCGACCACATCCTCCTCACCCGCCACTGGAGGTGCCTGGCCACCCTCGACATGATCGACGAGGCACCCCACCGCCCCCCTCGCCCGCCTACCTCCTCTCGTGCAGGCGACACGCGTGTCGAGGAAGAGTCAGAGACAGCTCAGAGCCGGTTCCTTTCCCCGCGCAGGCTGACATCCTCGCCGAGAAGTCGCTGCCGTCGTCGCGCTTCCCCTCGGACCACATGCCCGTCCTCGCCGTCCTCTCACTCGGAGGAGCGGATGCCGGTGAGCGAGCGACGAATGAGGACGACGAGTGGAGCGATAGGTCGTACAAATCCTACGACTCAGCCCAAGACGACAGGCCTTGGCACTAGCGTCCAGCCCGAGAGACACTCTCGCACTCCCGCTAGAGCGCGTTCTTAGATCTTACTATCGTTTTTGCTTCAGCTTGGGGCTCTCTCTCTCGCATGGTTTTTCGGTAGTTCGGTAGAGACTAGAGAGAGAGACAACAGACATTGAGAGAAGCGTACCTGACGTAATTCTGTGGTGCTGTGGTGGCTGGTGCACGCACACCCCGTATACAGAGGCGTACAACATAAAGATAAAGTAAAAGTCCGCGTACGCCGGTACGGCTCGTTATTTTTACAATAAAATTAACGCTCTTTATAGTTTGTGGAGCCTAAAGAGATCTCATCGACACTCCAAGGACACCGGAGCAGAGAGAGGCACAAAAGCTGTGGCGACTGGCGCTCTAACGTCTAGAAGTGAACGATGTCGAAATCCATCAGGAGAGACGCTGCGCGTGCGGGAGAGACGCCTATACACCCGTCCCGCTCTCATCGACTAGGAGCGTCGGCCGTCGCGGTTGCCGATGCCGTCCTGCCGGCCTTGGATAGGTGAGGTGTGCGGAGGAAGGGCCGCAGCGACCGCGCGATTCGCACTGATCCCGCGCGGCAGCCGGCGAGGTTGAGTGCGTCCGCGCCGAGCTCGAGCTGCGCGAAGGCGCCTACGGTTGGCCCGCGGGAGACACTGAGTCTCGCGCGGGTGGCAGCGTCGGCTCCTCGCTCGGCGGGTTCGGGGCCCATCACGTGCAGCGGGCAGTGCGCTGCCCAGGAGAGGTCCTGCTGCAGCGCGGGCAGCCCGCCGTGCGTCTGGATCGGGACCTGCGCGAGCAGCTGCGCGAAGAGAGGCACGAGGGAGAGGTCCATCTCCCCGCCCGTCGCCAGCCACACATAGTCAAACCTCTCCGACGAGCCGTCGTCGAACGAGACGTCGAAGCTGCCGCCGCCCTCCCCGCCAGCCGGCCGCCAAGCCGCGCTCTCAACCTCGACCTCCTCGAGGAGGGAGACGACGCCGCCGCCCTCCCCGCCGCCGCCCTCCCCGCCGCCGCCCTCCCCGCCGCCAAGCTCGCCGTCGCCTCTGGCGGCGGCGTGCCGCAGCAGCGAGGCGTACACCTCGCCCGCCATCGAGCCCCCTCCCCTCAGCCGGCCGATGAGGCGCGGCCGGTCGCACGGGGGAGCTGCCCAGAAGGAAGAGAGGGCCTCGCCTCGCCGGTCGCCAACCACCTGCGGCACGGCCGCAGAGCGGCGGACGCTGCAGCGAGGAGGCGGGCGGAGCAGAGAGGAGGGAGGGCCAGCGGTAGCTGGATGCGAGGAGGTGGGGAGGTCACGCGAGCCTGCAGGTCGACGTCGAACGGCTTTCGCACGATCGGGCGGCGGGCGGCGAGAGTGACGGCGGTGGCGCCATTCTTGACTGCGACGAGGCAGAGGTGCCCCGCCGTTTGCCTACTCGAGGCGGCGGGGTGAGGCAGAGAGAGGCGCCGTGGGGGCACAGGTGCGCACGATCTCGGCTACAAAGGGCCATCTCTCGGCTACCGCGGCTGCCCTCCTCCGACGACAAGCACGCGCGAGCCGCGCAAAGCAGCCTTGCCCTCCGCGTCAAGCAGCTCGCGCACCAGCTGCGACGAGTGGCAGAGGCGGGGCAGGCCGCCGCACCCGCCGGCGGCGGCGAGAGAGCCGGCCGCAGCCTCGCACCACCACGGCAGATTGGCCCGCATCCCAGCAAACATCGGGCCCGGGCCCATGGCGCAGACGACCCTCGCGGCGCGCACGCTCGTGCCGTCGGCGAGCCGCAGCCGGAACGAGCACGCGGCGCCGGCGCAGGCGTCGGGCGGCGGCGGAATGACCTCGACGGCGGCGACGGTGGCCTTGCGCACCAGAGGCGCGAGCTTGTACCTCGCCACCAGCGAGGCGCAAAAGTCGAGGAAGAGGCGGGTGCCCGGCAAAGCGTACGGGCCGGAGAAGCCGGCGGCTCGCGCGGCGCCGCGGTCGAGGTAGGCCATGTGCCACATCTCCAGCTCGCGCTTGTGTTTTTCGGCCCACACCCGCAGCGACTGAAAGTCGTGTGGGCAGGGGTGCAGGTCTGAGTGAGAACGGCAGTGCTCGATCTCCAGCGCCGAGAAGTCGCGTCGCCACTGCCCCATCCACTCGCCGCCCGAATCAAAGACGGCGACGCCGGCCAGGTGCGCCGCCGCGTCCACAAACCGCCTCTGCAGCGCCTTGCGCACCTCCGCGTGCGACCGCGCACGGGACCCAGCCTTGGCGGCTACGCGTGTGCGCTCCGCCTCGTCCAGCAGATCGGCGTCATCGTCGACAACGCGGCAAAGCAGCGAGAGCGCGTGCGGTCCCGAGCCGATGACGGCGACGCGGAGCGACTCCTCGGCCGCTGGTGTGGAACCTGATGGTGTTGTTACCAGCGGTGATGCTGATGCTGGCGTCGGCATGTAACCAGCTAACAACGGCGTAGCAAAAAACTCTTCGGGTTGTCGACTGCTGCTGTTGATGACTGCACTTAAAATCCCTGTGTGGTGGCGGCGTGCCGTCCTCCCATCCCTCCCTTGGGTTGTCTGTTTTCTTTCTTTCTTTCTTTTGATGACTGCACTCCAAGTGCTCCAAGTGCCTCTGGGTAACCCTGGGGCGCCGCGAAAAAAAATCAAAACGGCCCTTTCTTGAGGAGAGTAATTATTTTCTTTTTCCCTGCGCCGCGGCTGTGGATGTCACTGTGTAACCCTCCGAGTACCGAGAGAACGAGAAGACTTCAAAAAGGCAGCGAGTCACATGCATATAATAAAATCGACACCATCCCTCCCTCTCGCATACGCGCCATTCTCTCCGCCTTCCACACAGCCCAATGTCGCCGCCCGTGGCCGCCAGCGGGGGGCGGGAGGACACGAGAGTAGATTGGACTCTGCCCGACTCTTCCTGCGCGCGAATAGCGGAGACCGGAGTGCGAGGTCGCCCTCGCCCGCCGCCGCCCTCTCCGCCCGAAGCGCCGGGCGAGCAGCCGCAGGGTCCGAGCCCGGCTCGTGGGTCGTGCCGGTGGCTCGTGCCAGTGGCTCGTGCCGGCGGCCAAGCAGGCCAAGCAGGCTCGGCTCCGGCGAGGCTCGGCTCGGGGCGGCGGGCAGCTGCGCCTCCTCACGCGGACCGGTTGAGGACCATGAAGCAGAGGTGCAGCAGCGCGTCGCGCGCCT